TCCCAGTTAATTTAAAATTAGTTTTGAAATTCAGCAAAGTATTTTGCTTATTGAAAATTTTAAATTTACTCTATTAGCTTGAAATTAAAACTAATATAAAAGCTTTAACAGATTTTTCATTTTTAAAAATTCATTTTAAACCTTAGGTATCACATTTATTTTAAGGTACCTATATATATATATATATAATACTATGACAAATTGGGAAAAAGTTTTTGTGACACGTTTCATCTTTTAGGATTTCATTGGACTGGACTTTGTTTATGTTGCCATATCTATATATGTGCACAAAATGAGAGATGCTGATCGTTTAAAAATTTTAGAAAGAATATTTTTTCAATTTAGCCAAATTCATATGTATTCTTCCCCCCTCCCATCATTTTTGTCCCTGATTATCACACATTGTGGCAAGAGAAAACCTACCAAGAATCATGATATATTTTAAGAGCCTGGATGTGAATTTACTGTGGCTGAACTAGTGATCAAGGGACTTTCCAGACATTTTTGTCTCAGTGGATTATTTTCTCTTTTAATCAAAGTAGCATTCCCTATGTCAAAATTGTGGTCAATTTCATTACAGTGAACAACCAATGCATTTTGTGTGTTGCTATTTAAAATGTCCCTTTTGTGTTCATATAGTTTTTGCTTAAAATTCTTGAGGTTTCTCCAATATATTCATTCTGGCAATTCCTGCACTTGATAGAGTAAATTCCTCCTTCAAGTTTTGGTTTGTTGTTTAGTCTTTTTATTGATTAAGTCTTTGATTGTTTTAGATGTAGTTGTGACAAATTTTATGTTGAGTTTAGATAAATTCTTTTTGGCTGTAGTTGTGATAGAGTTAGTGGGCAGAATAATATTTTTTTTGATTCATTGGGTTTGTCAGAAAAGACCAGATTTTCTATTTTGGAATATTTTATGACCCTTTTGTTTCAGATTGAATATGAAATAGGATATTGAAAAGTCTTGAATGTATTTTCAATATATTTCTCCTCTTTGTGTAAATATTGAGGGCTGCAAATTCTGAGTGCTCTTAAATAGAATCCAATGATCATTCTGGATTTATTTTGTTGTTATGATGGGAATAGAAGTTTGTCATTTTTATTAGTTGATTTTTGATGGACACTAAGTTCTTAACTATTGTCAACTCAGTGTAACATGATGTCTAAGAAAGGTAAAGTATTGTTTTTTTTTCTATTTCATATGTGAATTCTATTGTGTATTCAGTTTTGTTTAGTTTATCTACAAGATCCGGTAAGTTAGTATCACGGGGTTATATTAATAGAGCATCATCAATTTATTGGAAGTTGATTGTTTACGTAAAATGTTTTGGAAAGAAGAAGACTTGAGAAATTCCAAGAAAATACATGACATGACTCCACTGAGAGGGGATCCCATTGATAATCTAAATTTTTGTTTGTAAAAATTCTTATTGAAAGTGAAATAACATTGACTGGTGATGAGATGGGTAGAATTTTATTATTTTAGCTGTTGTTAGGGAGAAGTTTATCTTTGATTTTCTTAGATGCTTTTTAAAGAGAGTTAAGCATTTTTTTAACTGGGATATTAGTGGAAAGTGGTTATGTGTTTGTCAGTCATATTTATTTCCCTTAGTTTTTCAACAAAGTTGCCTTAATTTTTTATATGTGATAGACTTATTGTTCCAAGGAGAGGTGTTAATATTTTTGCTATGGCTCTAACTATTTTGTGTGGGGGCACTTTCTATTTCAGAAATGATGGGGTTCATAGGGATACCAGTTTTTTGGATCTTGGAGAGACTGTAAAGTTTTTGTGTTCTATGGTGATATTCTATGAGTCTATGTGGTGTGGCCAGGGCAGTGGCCTGCTGTCTGGTCAGGATTGATCCTGTTATCGGAAAACAAGTCATCAGCCCACACTCGTTGGTCATTGGTGGCATTTGACACAGCAACTGGTCTTTAAGTTGACCTCTTTGACTATGACCTCTCTTACCCACATTGTGATTTTTGATCATAAGAGGGTCAAGTTGAATTATCACTGGTGTATCTCAACCAAGCTAAACCAAGGAGTTGAATATGCACACAAAATTGAAAATAAAATAAACAATGCTTGAACAAGTCACTAGATGATATATTTATATAAAAAAAAAATAATTAGTTTTTTTTTTTCTTTTTCCAACCTGTTTCTAATATTTGGCGATGGAATGAAAGTTTCAGCTAACTCCCTTAAGGATGGCCAGACTTGACAACTGAATTTCTTCAAGTACTGTTGATTGTACTTTCAATATCGATATCGTTGGAGTTTTTCTTCTTCAGCAGATAATTATTATTATCATTAGGTTGACAAAACAGCGTAATGGCAAAATATCTCTTACCTCCCTGTCCGCGACTACTGCAAGTCACCGCAACTCTGGACAGCAACTCTCTTAGGTGTATGGGTGTCCATTCTGAACTGGTATGAGGAAAGGCACATAAGGGGTTTTTAGGTAAATATTCTAAAATTAAACCAGTATCCTTCGTTTGTTCTCTGTTTCACACTTCCAATTTTGGAAGGTCCCCTCTCCTTCAGGAGGAGCCATTATATGACATCTGTCTTCCTGACATCTCCCCCTGCCTTCAACAATTGCTCATTCTGTCTTCATAATTATAATTTTTTCTCAGGGAAATTTTGGTTGATAATTTTCTCAGCACAGAAACATTGACACCTTTCAACAGTCGATTTTAACCCCTGAATCTGCCAGCTGTGTCACGCCGGACAGTAACAATTGTATTTTATACTTTTTCAACAGAATTCGTACATCTGTTTTCAATACCCTGGGCAAATGAGTCTCCTGATAAAAAAAACAATAAAATCGTTTTTTAACCCTTTTGTCTGTATGCCATGTTAAATATTGTCACATCTATACCACGATTTGTTTTCATTTTTAATCAGTTTTCTGATTTCTTTGTTGAATTTTTCTGTTTCAATAGTTATTTTTGTTCACTTATTTTTTTCTATATGTTGGTATCATTGAGAAGTGCACTAATTTTTTCTATGTATGTAACCTTGTTTATGATTACAATGACACATCCATTGTCAGAGGGAGTAATTTTCTTATTTCTCACTAGATTCTTTCATGCATTTAGATGTCTCAGTGGTAATGTATTATCATTGTTGGTTTTTATAGTAGTAGTGATTATGCCTTAAATGAAACCTTTGGTGAACTTGGAATTGTTCTGCTTGTGATTTTTTTACTATATTGTCAACTATGTCTCCTTTGCAGATTTCAGTTGCAAATTTTAAACTGAAGCTGAGTGCTTTTTGTTCTGTATTGGAAAGCATTATATCCGATAAATTTTCTATTAGATTAGGCTTTCTGATAATATTTCCACTTGCTGTTGCTGCATAGGTTGCTGAATTTTTGTCTCGGTTTGTTGTTTTGATTGTTACTTATTTGTTAATAGCTGAAACTCCTCTCTTACATGCCAAATGTCTTATGGATAGAGTTGGATCTTTTCTAATTGATCTCTTCAGCTCTAAATTGAAATGATGATCCCTCTTTCTGCTGTGACCTCCTGATCCAGTTTTCTTTTTTTTTTTTTTTATTGTTCCTTCTTTTTTTAAACTTATTTACCATTCTCTTGATGGTTCTTGAATGGACTTTGAAAGTGGAAGCCAGAATATGAACGTTGGTACCATTACTGTAGGCCTGAAGGATTTTTTTTCTCACCATTGCTCACTTGGGAAGACATACTGGGGATGACAGAAAGTATTTTAATCTCTTCTCTTTCTAATTGAATAACTGAAAGTCTTTTTTTCAGTGATTCTTAATACAAATGGTATCAAGATGTGTGTGTGTGTGTGTGTGTGTGTATATATATATATATATATATATATATATATATATATATATATATATAGATAGAATGATGTAGTTGAACAGCAACCCTTCTATAATAAATTACTGACAAGATACTTCTGTTTATTCATCTATGTGCTGTAGGTGATCATGGTTCTCCACAATTTCCTGTTGTTTGTATCTCTTAGTAGATTTTGTCTTTTTGTTATCTCTCCTAATTAAATAAAAATTCCAGTTGGGTAGATTCACTCTTGGTAAAGGTATTTATCCACCTGTCCTCCCCACAAGCTATGGGTTAACTAGTAGGACTTGTATCAGTAAATCTTTATTAACTCCACAGAATCCTTACAATATAAAGACATTTTCTGTCTTTAAATAACCTGCAAAAGGTTGATAAGCCATAAAAAACAAATCAATTCATCCCAAAAAGACCCCCCTGATCATTCACTGCTGGATCTTTAGAAAAATTGTGTTAATTCTAATTTTGCTTACAGTATGAGGCAAAAAATGAACGTACTCATAGAAAGTCGATTTTTGTATTTTTACTCAACTAATGTGAGTAACAGAATTTGTTTATTAATACATGTGTACATTATACAAGTCAAATATGATTTAGTATTTTGTTGGGTAACTTTTTGCTTTAATAATGGCCTTAATTCTTCATGGCATGCCATAGACTAAATTTTTTTATTAAGTCAACATCCTTCACCAGATTTTTCCAGCATTCTTTTAATTTGTGAAAAAGTCCTGACCTTAACCCAATTGAAGACCTTTGGGTGATAAGGGACAAGCATGCATGTAATAGGAAAGTTAACAAAGAAGATGAGCTTTTTCACAAATTAAAGGGATGCTAGAAAAATCTTGTAAGGACATTGACTTACTAAGGAATTTATTCTATAGCGTGCAACAAAGAATTAAGGACGTTATTAAAGCGAAATAAAAGGTTTAGTTTGACATTCCAATCACCTGAAGAAGTCCGGTGTGTACAATGGCTGAAACGTTGTAATAAATATGGCAATAAAATGAGGACAATAGTCCGAATAACGTAAATAGTGTATATAATACCTCATCTCAGAAATATAGACAAATCAAATAATTTTAATATTTCTGGAGATTTTTCTGTCAACAGACTTTCTTTTATTTGTTTGCTTCCATTTTAAAATATTTCTTTCTTTTTTCGTTCCAGGTGGTAAAAATGCAGTACCGGTGTCAGTATTAGTAGATCATAAGAATTCCAGTTATTATTTTCTGAACACACATGGAATTGAAACAGTACAAAAGATTCTTGCTGTTCTAGCACATAGCAATCCAGATATTACTTACAGCCCAGTCATCCAGTCTTTGATTAGCCTCTTATTACATTACATGGATCCTTCACAGTGCTACAATACAGTTTATGGACTTTTCCGGAATAAGTCGGATACATTCCTAACTTTAAATAAACTTTCCTACAATGCATCGAAATTAGTGATGCGTGATCTCTCCAAAAAGTATGCAGTAAGTATTTCAACATTTTTACTTATTCTTTTCTTACTTGCAAAAATGATGGATTATTTACTTAGGGAAAAGTTTAATGTCAATATATATTTCCTGACCAAATTTCTAGGATGCAGAGTTATCATTATTTATGCTATTTACTTGAAGACTATTGTCCTCATATTTGTTGTTGTTATCACAACGTTTTGGTTGTTGTGTCCTTCGACCTTCATCAGTTGTATATCATTCCAGGTAACCCTTTATTTAATCTATAGGGATAGATTGTTCTCATTCCACCATCCATGTCTCAGGATATCTTGTCTAGTTCTAATTTTTAGTACTGCTTGGTTATTGCTTGCCCCATTTCTAATGAGTCCAAATACACACTGCCTGACTGTAGTAAAAGAGATAATCAGCTACCTGAAAAAAAAGGGTGTGTTTTGTGTGCGATCTGCTGAAGAAAAATTACCAAAAAGTAGTTAGCAAAAAAAAAAAAAAATCTACTTTAAGGACGAGAATCTGTGCTAATGTTCTTCCCTCCCCTGACTGGCATGAACAAACAGAAAGATCTCTCGGTGAACAAAAGCTGTTGTTCTTCGCTTATAAAGGCAGGAGATTTTCTGAGCTCGGGAGACGAACACGCGTTTTTGCTGGTGAGAAGTTAAAAGTTGGACATGTGACCCCATTTTGTCATTTCTATGGTGCTTGTTGGACTGTTATGATGGGCTATCGTTTGAACTGTGATTTGGCTACAAGTGTTGTGTTCGAGAGACAGAAGAAATCTATTGCAGACGTTTGTTGCTACTATAAGTTGACAGTCTTTTCTTTTCTTTACAACCCAACTGACCCACTGCAGTCCATACCACATCAGGATAATATTCAGAAGTAGTTTTACTGTACAGAGAAATTATAGGTATTCATTTACTACATGAAGTAAGTAAAATAATTGATAAAAATGATATAGGTCTCTGCGGGGATGATGGCCTCAGGATCCTAAGAGACTGTAACAGACAAAAAAAACAAACAAAACCAGAAAAGTAATTTTCAAAATTTTCTAAAATATGGGATTGAACATAGACATAAAAACTAACCTAAAAGAAGTAGATTTCCTAGATGTTACATTCAGCCTAAGAATAGGTACATATCAACCATATTGAAAACCTAATGACAAACCACTTTATATACACAGATCTACCAAACACCTGTCATCAATAATCAAGTAGATTCCTAAATCAGCTAACAATAGGTTATTTGGCAATTCTTCCAGTAAAACCATCTTCAATGAAGCTTGACAACACTCACATACATACCACACAGGAAAAGAAACATCATATGGTTCAATTCACTGTAAAAAAAAAAAAAAACATAGGAAAAATATATACACATACACAAACACTTTGCCCCATCAAGCACTCTCCACAAGATATTCAACACAACAGTTAAAATCAGCTACAGTTGTACTGAGAACATGACACAAATAATGAAAAAAGCACAACTAAAAAACAACCAGCAAACCACCACAGTAAATCAAACCCATGTTTAACTGTAGAGCAAAGACAAAATGTTCCTTAAATGGCAAATTGCTTGAAAAACAATGTAATATATCAAGCCACTGTAAAATCAGCATATAACTAAGAAAAAAATGTATATAGGAGTAACTGAGAGCCCATAGAAACAGAAACTATGCACACAAGGAAAGTGGTATCAGCCTACAACAATAAACCTAAAAAACTGTAAGCTCTCTCTGGAGAAGAAAATAGTTGTGTGTGTTTTAAGCATTCCCATAATTCACCTTACTTCTGTGTAAGAAAAAATCAGCAGCTATATACTTGTTTACTTCCAAACTTCCATCGTATTGTGTTTTTTAATTTCCCCCTTTTTGGGTGAGAACAGGAATTTCTTGTAATTTTGTATTAATTTATTGTTCTTTATTTTCTGGCTTTTACAAAAAAAGAAAGAAAAAAAAAAAATGAAGGTTAATTCCCATGGCTGTTGTGTTTAAATATTATCAAAATTCAAAGAAATGTTAACATCTGTCTCCATTTCTGAGATGATGTATTGTAACTATTTACACTATTTATATTGTATTGTTCAGGCTGTTGTCCTCATCTTTACTGCAGCATTCACAGCGTTTTTGGCCATTGTATGTTCCAGCTTTCTTCAGGTGATATATGTTAGGATTTCAAATCAAACCCTTTGTTTAGTTCACTGGGGTAGATTGTTCTAGTTCCACGTGCCATGCCTTTTCTGGCTGTCTCAGTTTTTCAGTTAATTCTCTTTAGTAACTTTAGTGGCCTGATATTGAACTCACAACTCTTTGGGTCAAGTCACTTTTTGGATCACTCAACCAATGCTTTTATCCACTAGGCATTAAAAATAATGTAAATAGAAAATGTTAAATATAAGTTTTTGTTGTTTTAAATGGACTTAACATCTGAATATTATTTGAAAAAATAAATATCTGTCCCATATCAAAATAATTACAGGCATAAATAAAAAAACAAATGCATAGTGTTCCAAACTTAATTTTAACCTAATATTTCAGTAACAATACATTGTTGTATTGGTATGTCATATGTTTGTTTACTTTCAAGTCTGAGATTTCATTCAAGTTTTGCTTCAGTTCAATTTGTATATTTGCTTTAGCTTCACTTAACCAACAAAAAGAGGCATTGGCTTTTTTAGAATAAAATTAAAACATCTAGATTGAGTGGTATTGAGTTAATCTTGCAAGGGTTTTTATTTCTTTTATCTGTATGTATTAAGGATTAAATTTAAAATCAATATAATAACAATCTGATTTTTGTACATTTCTATATTATTTTAGCACTGCAAAAACAGCACAATATTTGTTAGTGCAATATGGTTACAATTCTTTAACTTGAAGAATGAAGCTGTTTTCAATCTGGTTGGGTCACTGGTTTTTGAGGAAATTTCTAATGAATTATGGAAGTGATAAAAATATTTTCTAAAGTTTAAACTCCATGTCTATTAACTGCTAATTGCAAAGTTTTTTCCATTTTTTTTAATGAAAAAACTTTAATTATAATGAAGAATAATAACCAAGGTTTGTAATAATTAGCATTAGCTAATAATTATGAGAGGGTGATGAAAAGATCTGTCTGAATCCCATTCATAATAAAACTACAGCTGATGTCCTCCAACATGAAGGCTTGCCTTGACTATGGACACATGGCCATTGGTTCCATTGGGGAAACCTTGCACCCTAGATGAATGCAGTGATGACAAGGCATGGCTGGGTGGGGAGGGCTTCTTAAACTAAAAAAGCTATGGCGTTCAGCCTACCCTATTGTGTTAGATGACTCTTGACTCATACAAGAAGGTGCATCCACCCTTTGATATTATATTAATTATATTATATACAAGGTAACCAAAAAAAGTTCTGTCTGTATTTTGATTAGTCATTGAATGAAGTTGAAATATATACGAAATGCGTGTAACAATTGTTTTCAAATTCGGACAGCCGGAAGTAGGAACATCAGACGTTAAAAAAAACACACGCACAGTGCCCGACCATCAGTTATAAGCCGGACAGCTGTGAGAAGGATGGAAGTGTCTAGAGATCTCGTTTGGGGCTGTTTGCTTTACGACTTCAAAGTGGGCTTATCAGCAGCTGCATCAAGTCGCCACATATGTCAAGCATTTGGGGATAGTGCTGTGGATGAACGTACTGCAAGGTGTTGGTTTCAAAAATTCAAGTTGGGAGATTTGTCTCTCCATGATGAGCCTCGCAGTGGATGACCACAGGTCTTGAATGACGGAGTCCTGAAGGCGGCCATTGAAGAGGACAGTAGTCTAACGTGTGGTAAACTTGCAAGACAGTTCAACGTTTCCAATGAAACAGACTTCACCCGCATTGCCTAGGTAAGACGTACAAACTGAGCAAGTGGGTTCCGCAAACGCTGTTGGAGGTCCACAAGGGACAAGTGGCAGCCTGCGTATTGCTGCTTTCTAGCCACCATACCGCATCCTTATTCAATCGAGTGCTTACCAGTGATGAAAAGTGGGTTCTGTACGAAACTCCCAAGCGTTCCAGACATTGGTTGTCTCCTCAGGATGCTGTCCCTCACACCGCAAGACCGCCTATGCACCCACGTAAGATTATGCTTTGTGTCTGGTCATCAAGTGGTTTATTATGAACTGCTGCCAACAGGCCAAATGGTCACTGGAGACCTATACTCGCAGCAATTGAAATGTGTGCAACAGACATTGCGCCAGAAGGAGCCAGCACTGGTGAATTGCAAAGGTGTGCTTTTCCTCCATGACAACACCAGGTTGCATGTCGCGCAAGTGGTCAGGGATACCATACAGCAACTTGGGTGGGAGACTTATTCACCTGACTTTGCACCATCTGATTACCACCTCTTCCACTCCTTGGATAATCATCTTCAAGGGGAATCCTTCACCAATGAAGCAAACTTGAGCAAAGCCCTCACAGACTTCTTTGCATCAAAACCCCTAGAGTTCTACTGCAAGGGCATTGAACAGGTGGAGACACATTGGCAGAAGGTAATGGATGCCAATGGCAATTACTTCAAAGACTAAATATAAATTACACATACTGTGAAGCGTTTTCTTTTTTTCCTTTAAAAACGGACAGAACTTTTTTGGTTACCTTGTAGATTAATGTCATGTAAGAGTTCTTTCATGTTGGTTGTTTAGTTAGTGGTATATCGACATCTCTATGGGTTATTTAATGTCAAAATTTTGAACAGATTTGTATGCCTTCAACTACAAATAAAATGTATTGTTGGCAATTTGGCTATCAATAGGTGCTGTTGGTACAATTAACAACTGCACCAATTGATAGTAAAATTGCCATCAATAGGTGCTGTTGGTAATTTTTTATTTTATTTAAAAATGTATTGCTTATATTTTTAATATAAAATGTAATTTTATACTTTCTGCCCATACCGATGACCCTAACAGGTGCTATCAACGCAGATCAGGTTGGACCTGGGAAGGATAACAATTAAGAGATGGTTCCAGGCTCAAAAACT